TTAATTTCCCCATTCAACTGAAGAATAGTGTTTTGAAGTGTTGTGCTGATAAAATAGATACTATAGCAGGACACAAATTTACGTGAAAATACCATCACAAATTGACCTTTTTTGGCATCTCCACTGTCTGTAAATTAATATCCCGCAATGCTGAATGTGTTGGGAATTTCCCTAATGGAGGCAAACAGGCTCAGGATATACATGTAGGCATGAAAAATAACATGAAATAAATTTGTTAAAATTTTTAAAGATTGCCCTGCATCTTTGTTCATTGGCATTTCAATTCAGAGCCAGTCATTTCAGAACATGCCTTTTCACTTTCAGCAAGTGTATGTACCGTACATGTAAGCAGTGCAAGTACATGCAAATGTGCAATCAGTCAGTTTTTTTGTTCAAGGGTTTAACCCATACTACCCAATTTCCTCAAACTCCAACTGTACATGTAGGTTTGGTCAAGTTTTGACTGATTCAAGTTCATATGGAATCAACTTGTTCTTCAACTTTGTTTGATTGAGGAACAAAGGCTTAGGGTAATAGTGTTGGATTTTGTTGAAGTGAATGGCTATTGGTACCACATGTTGGATTTTGCATGATTTTGTGAGGTTTTGTACTACTTAGGAATCAACCGATGATCGAATTGGACATCAGATCAGGCTGATGTTTGGCAGCATCCACAAAACATCTGATCGGCAAAATTTGACTGTCCTTGCCGATGTGAGTGCCGATGCTAATAAGAAACAAACTCTGCTTTGGCAAACGCAGTAACAACTGTGGTTTATTCATTTGGTGTGATAAATGAACAGTTACGTCCACCTAAATTATCCCTGAGAATTACATGTACATCTGCATGCAATCCATACCGCAACAAAACTAAACTCAACGCACAGATTACAGCCTGGAAACAGTCAGTGCACATGTATACTGTTGTTATTGAACGTCATGAGTGGAGCCAGGGAGCTGTACCATATGGCGACACGAGGCACTGAGTGTCTACTCTGCATATTGTACATAAGATAATTTTTGGAATATAAACACTTAAACGTTGGTTCTCATGCTGAAAAATGTCTCTGTGGCTTTTATACTCTCCAGCTTATACCGCAAACTTTGAGGTATAAGATCAGTCACAAAAGCCGCGGCCAGGCCATGCCATACGTACAACTAGCAGATAGCTCAGTCATGTTTTCCTTGGTTGCCGTTCACATCTGATAACTTAAACCTCGGAGAACAAATAAAAATTCGAGTTGTCCGGATTTCGAGTGAACAGAATTCCCCGAGTCATGGAGTCACAAAACACATGTATTGTGTACACAATCTTATACATGGATCTACTTTACTTGCTCTGCTGTGGCAATATTTTTGAGAGATTTTTTGCCGCTTTTATTCATTCTTATGGTTTTTTTTGGCAGACAAATAAGCATTTTACTAAAATTGATTATTTTTGTTACCTCAAGATTTCTTTCTACCATTAAATAAAAAATCAACCGCCTCTGTGGTGTACCTTCGTGTGGCAGATCTTTCGTCTTTTCGCATGACATGCCACAGAATTTAAGGTTTTTTTCACTTGTGTTTACTGATGACAACACTTTCTGTGGTCACATGTTTATTGGAAAGAGTTGGCAATTGGACTGTCCGTGAATGGGTCTGTGATCGCGGTGATGTGTGCAGTGTTTGTGCGGCATGCAGTGGATTTTTCATTTTTGAAGCAATTTTGTATTGTGCAAGCAGTGGTGTGCCATGTGATGTGTGTATGCAGTTTATTCGCTCAGCTCAGTGACACAAAGTGAAAATAAAGGCAAACAAAAGAAAACCTTTAAAGGAATTTATTATCATTATTGTCTGACTGTGTATATTGATACTTTCAGGGAATACACTGTTTTTGTGTTATTTGAAGTAGGCGTACATCATGTACATCATGTCAAGGTTTGTCGACATGCGTTATTAAGGACATTGTTACTGTCATATCAGACACCAGCTGATGTTCCAATTAAAATATCAGACGTCAAATCGGCAGTTAAAACCAACATCAGTTGATCCCTAGTACTACTACTCTGCAAGTCCGGCCAACAAAAAAATACTTATGTTTCTGGTTTCCTGGCCAACATTAAGTTTTTGGCTCGCCGCGTTTTAAATAAGCATGTTAGAAAAACAAATTTTAAAATTTAATAAAATAAAAAAGATAAATCCTGTGCGCAAATCTCAATGCATTACAGCAGTTCTGCGCTAGTTCCCACCGTGCCCATGCAAAAGAACGTGTGATGGAAATGTGGCAACCAGTCTATACATCTCGGTCAAAATAGCCTTGTTACACTACCAGTACATCAGCCATACACACGCAATCCCCACAGCTGCTGGTCAAAAAAAATTGATGTTGTAAGAAGATTTCTGCAAGTTAATTCGCAGAACTTGGTCTCTTGTCTATGTATGTATTTTCTTGGTTCACGAGCTTAATTTACTTGAGGCGAACATGTTTTCACAAAATTTCCTGCCGTGGCACAAGGTTTATAGCCCATCTGCCTGGATGTGCCAGTATCATGCACGCTAACCATGTAATATACGGACATTGTTGGCCAGTTTGCTGTAATGACTAGGGATCAACTGATGATCAGATTGGACATCTGATTAGGCCGGAATCAACCAATGATCGGATTGGACATAGGATTGGGCCGATGTGCGGCAATGTAGGCAAAACATCGGATCAACAAAATGTGACCTTCCTTGCCAATATGAGTGCCGATGTTAACATGAAAAAAGGAGCAAACACTGCACTCACTTTTGGCAAACTAAAATCTCGCATTTTTTTATTTTAGCACGAATACAAACTGTGTTTTTTTTCATTTGGTGATAATGAACAATTATGAATTGTTAAACCTACGTAAAATATATATCCTCAAAAATTATACCTGCACGATCCGTGCCACAGCAACTCAATGCATGGACTTCAGTTTACATGTCTTTGTTCTAATTGTGAACTCCAAATTTATTCTCTGAAACCATTTCTAGGAAATGCTTGCTAGCTTTTTGCCATATACTTACACAACAATAACTTGTCAAACGAAATGAAATCTACAATAGCAGTGTTAAGAAATATCCAGAAATTTCCTGTGCACAAATCAGTGCAACATGTAGGCTCAGTGCTTTGGATGACATCATAGTTTTGCTCATGAATATGCAAATAGCATTAACATAAACCAAAAAAGCTCCACAATATGGGTTAAAATTGGAAAACAAAAATTTTGAAGTGGGGTAAATTGAAACCCAAGGGTGCAATTTCAAGGAATTTAGTAAAGTATTTCTGTTTCATGGTCCCTTTAAGGCTGTGTTGCAGTTAATTGTCGGTAAAAACATTGGATCAAATCAGACATTGGCCGATGTTCCAATAAAAATATCGGACATCAAATCAGCAGTTAAAACCTACATCGGTTGGTCCCTAGTCAGGAATACCCGACTAGCTTTACAGTGTATGCATCATGGTGTGAATTGTCCATAATTCTAATGAATCGTTGACTGCAGTACAAAGATTAAGGCAAGTTTTTATCACGTAACGGCACGTAATGCCGGCTGCTACCATCACTAAAATAGACCGACCCCGGCAATATTTACTGTTTAAAAACTATTAAACATTTTCAGCTTGTACATGTACACAGAACATAACACCACCTCGTTTGTCTGGTTCCCCAGATGTAAGTGTATAATACAGAAATTACGTCATCTGTAAAAGAGTGCCTGACTAAATGTATGTGTAGCAGTATGGGAACTAGAGGAATTCCTTCACTGAAAAGTAGGAGGATTCCAGTCTATTAAGCAAGTTTGGCAGCTTTTGGACCTCGTTTTACACATGTATACCAAATTAAAGGGCACGCAACACAGTCTATGCCCAGAAAATGCAAAACAAAAGACTTGACATCTGAAACACATTCTTAAAACACTACAGTTAGCCTACTTGAACATTTTTCCTTTTTACTGTGCCGAATGGCCGAGCGGGTAGCAAAAATTGATGTGCACAATAAAATTGCAGGTAAGACCATGATAAGTTGCATGCACCATTGTACCTTGCGAGCGAGTGCGACCCACGGTGCTACCACGAGGCGTGACCGACCAGCGCAGTGGCCACCCATCGCAGGCTCTTTGTAAAATATGAATGACAGTGCAGTCACAGCTTGACCAATCGCTGTAGATGAGCAGTTTGCATAATGGGCAAATTTGCATGTACATAATGTATGCATCATGTTTAAATTGTAAATATTCATTACTCATTGCTGACGACATTGTACATGTATGTACATGTACTGATACACATCCTGATACATATCCAAATGACATGCCAATCGTTTTACGATGCACACACACACAACATTGCTACTTATCACTAATGCACATATTGTGTGCATGTGCGGTTTCAATGGAAAACGTGGCATTGGAAATGCATGGTTTGACCACAGCTTGAATGATTTTTGGCGGTTGATGGTACTCAAAGCTTGAATTATGGCTGCACGAAAGCAGTTTTGGAAAGAAAGGACGAAGCAAAAGCCAAGACCGTCAATGTATCGGTACAAGATACATGTAAGTGGTTTTGGAAATGGACTGCAAATGAAGTTGACGGCTGCCTTGCAGCCATGTGCATATTAATTATTATACGGAAGCTAGCAGAACTGGGGAAGGCTTATCTTCCTTATATCCAACAATAAATTTATTCCAAAAATCATCTGTTTGCTGAGTTTTTTCTGTTGTTCTTACGTAAAATTTTCTATTCTACTGAGAAATAAAACAAACCACCCAAACTCTGTACTTTTGTGTGACAGTTTATTCATTTGCTCACATCTCTGCTGGACCACACAGCCCTGTGCTTGTTGTTTGCTTGGCCAGGGCTGCCCAGGGTTTTCCTGTTTCACCACATGATCATTCCTTTTTAATCACTTGAGGGTGCACCATTTTGTATTTCAAAGCATTCAAGCATACATTTTTGTGTGCTTTTGGTTGTCTTTTCATTCCCTTACCTTTTCTTTTTACCATTTAGTAAATATTCGAGTGAGATTTTGTGACGCAAAAAGTGCATTTCCAGCACCGCGCCAGGAACGCATGTCCATTTTCTCTACACACGGACTGCGATTGGACAGTCAGCATGTGAGCAGCGCGCATTTGGGCAGGCAGCAGCAGCCAGGCTTTAGCCACGGCACGCACAAGGCTTCCTTCAGTGCTGTCACATGGCCACCATAAAGAATCAACAATTGGACTGCCAGTTTACATGTACATTTGGGCCGCGATAGCATTGGGCTTTCTTGAATGCCACGATTTGTGGTCATGACGAGTCAATTACAATGACATTGGCAGCAAGTGCATACTCGTGTCCTCACACAAGGAGACGAAGTGCAGTTTCCAGAAATGACTCATAATTAAAGTCAGGTGTTCTTTATCAACCCTTGTCAGTGGTTTGGTGGCGGTCTTTCTGGACTGGCCTTTCAAAACTTTGAGTTAAATGGATGAAGTTGTATGGACATTTCAAGTTGTGGAGGTATTTTCATACATAAAAGCCTGTTCTTTAAACGGAAAGGAAGAATGTCATCAAGATAAGCAGAGTTTCGAGTGAACCGACTTTGAGTTATGAAGAGTTTACTGTAGATCAATTTGAAATTGTTCCGAATGGTAAAGAGGGGCACAGAATACAGGATTGGTTTATTGGGAAATTTGGAGTAAATGTACCAATGGACTATATGAAATTCATTTTGGGCCTTAGCGAAAATGCTCACTTTTGTTTTAGGCACTAGAATTTTGGCAAAATGTGTATGACTACCTCACACATATCAATACCCCAGGGGAAACCTTGATCTTCAGACCACCTGTACTATAGAAGTACTGTATTTGTTTAGCTTGAGTCTGAGTATCTGACCTTATGGTAGGGTCATAGGTCTTTATCTCACAATAAGAAGTTTGGAGGTTTGAATCCAGCTACAGGCCTCAAGCAACATCTTTGGGCAAACCTATTCACCCCTACTTCTCTACACAAATACTTCAGGAAGCAGGTCTGGGCTTATTGCAGTAAGTGTCTGATAAGACGCACAGCATCACCTTTAGAAATATTTGTAGTATAATTTTAATTGACTCGAAAGGTTTTTGTAGAATGAGTTTTAAGATTTGATTGAGCAAAAGCAGCCTTTGCTCTTGTAGCAGAAGCTCCCGCGTTTTTGGTTTGGTCAGATATTCAGTTTCAAAATTCAAAACAGTACCGTAAGTTCAATCAGAATTGGATTACAAAATGAAATGAATTCAAGTCCCTCCTCATTCAGAAATCTGATTTCCAACTTCTGTGATGCTGACTTCTCCAGGGTTCTTTTTGATGTCATGTTATGTTCTTACATGTACACGTGTGTAACATATATTGTACAGTGTATGTAATACTTGTAATCTGTTTAGTCTTGTGAATGGCACTGAAATATTGAAAGACATGCCATGCAAAAAGTACAGAGATGTACTTTAATGTACCATCCAATTCATTACCATGTGCACTGCATAATGCCATTATGATCATAACCCCTTGAAATTAGATTCAATGGTATGTGCACAATCTTGCATCTGACATTTGTATTATTATCCTAGTCCAACACAAAATATGATGTGCATGTTTTAGCTCAAATGTTCTCTTTTTTCAACAGGCTATTCCAAAAAAGACTACTCTAAATCCCAATGCCAAGGTTTTCCAAAGTCCGAAGCTCGCTAATTCTGTGACTTCCTCAGCAGACTCAACGGACAGCAGTCCAGATTGGCATGACAATGAGAATAGGAGTTCTCAGGCATCTTCCCCACAGACAGCAATGACCACACAAGGTTAGAGTTGAAATGTTCTCTTTAACTTTGCATTACTACATCTTCCAAATCACCTCAAAATTACCAAACCAAACCAACCAAAACTAAATAGAGCAATACAGAATACCAAATTAAATATTCTGTAAAATTTTTGCTGGTTGCAATTTAGTGACACATGATATATTGCAGTTGTCCATAGACAAACGTGCGATGTAACATCTGATCCAACTTTGGCAGTTTTTATTTTCCACACCATATGCCTATAGTAAAACACAGTTTGTTAACCTTGTTAAATAATTTGATGATTCATAGGTCCTTACCAGGTGAATGGAGATGTTGGGAAGTTCTCAGGATTGGGCTACCCACCCTCTCCAGAATCGCCTGTCTACTCGATACAAAATGGATACATCAGTGGACCAGAATACCCATATTTACCAGATGGACAGTTGGTCACATGTAAGTAAGGTTTTTCGACTGCAACTTGGTCAGCCAACGTTGACAAAGTTTGCAAAGGTCTCATTGGTGATGATGGTGGCAGATGCTGTCTCCTTAAAACTTTCTGACAGAAAACAAAATGGACTGTTTGTGCAGTAAGCTTACAGTAGGTTTCTGTTAGCTTTGTTGGCAGACACTTTTCAGATCGTGTAAATGAACGATTCACATGCATGAAGAAGTGATAACACTCATGTTTATCATGGTGCATGCTGTGCTGCAGTGCTAGATTTTAAATTTCCATGTGCAAACTTTGAACAACATTACACGTGTAACAGCTGTTGACTGCTGCGACACAGGGCAGTGCTTGTTTTACACCTGGTGATTTGGAGGGTGACATTTATCCTTGATGGGGTAAAAACACTGTTTAAATATCAGCCGTTAACAATTGTTATATTGTGCCTGTGAAATAAAAAAATGGAGGGTTTAACTTATTCTGCTGCAAAAGATATGGATCTTTACAGTGTAGCCTTTTAAATAAGTGATTGCATCCACTAAGTCATGTGACCTAAAATGGGTGTTAAATATCAACAAATATGGTATCCACCAAAATCAAAGTGTTTCATAAGTATCATTTACCAAAAATAAAGGTGACGGTTGGCACAGTTCTCTGACTACTGATGTGCTGGGTACTGTACTGTAACTTGGGTGTATAGTTTGTAAACAACACTCAAAACACACGTTGCTATGGGGTTGATACCCACAAAAGGTCACATGATTTTGCCGGCACAATCAGTCTATTACTCTAATCTTTCTAATGGTGGGCAAGATATCAAGGGTTGTGTGCAGTGCTGAAACTGACCAATCATTCTGCAGACCTGTACGTTTGTCATCAAGATTTGACAAGCCGTGGACTGAAATGTCGAGTAGAATTGTAAGTATGCTCAACATGAGCTGGACCAGCTGGGCACCATCACCGTCTCAGCAATGGACGTACATTGGCATTCCACTATAACAAACATGAGGGAGTCCACACAAAACATTCGGTATAGCGATCTTCAGGTTCAGAGGTACACACCTGTTTGGAACTCCAGCCCATTCAAATGGGCAAATCAAGTTTTCCCAGAGTCATCGGTTAAACATTGCATACAACCTTCAGAACGGTTACACTGGTTCCTGTTCATTAAATGCCACTTTAATAAATAGACCACTCCCTCTCTTGGTCCCACACATGTACTTTTCCTAAAGTTAGTAAATTATTATAACACTAAGTCGCTGTACAAAGTGAAGCCTATTGAACTTAACCATGTCTGTGTGCAAAGGTAATGGAAAACTTCAAATTCAGCACAGTTCAGTACAGCTGTGCATAGACTTTTATTCCAGATTAATGCATCATCAAAGCTGATATGCGAAACACTCAAATGCACAATCAGTAAATGAGTGTTTTGTTTTGCTCTGTGTAACACGTGTGTAGGCATGTACACTGCAGACAAATTTGCCTCAGTTTTTAATGCATCATATCACAGAAAACCAGTGAACTTATATATTATTTATGGTGGCATGCATTTCATGGTAACTTTGCAGCTTGAAGTAAGGTTAGTAAACTTCCACTCTTGCTGATAGAGGGCTTCTTGACAACTGGTGCAGGGTGCGAAAGGTTCTTGTGTTATGCATTCTTGCGCGGGTTTGCATCATTTTGTATGGGCTTTCAAACAATTGTTAGACCTAAACTCATCGTAATAGTGCAACATATGTACAGTGTCCAAAGTGGTTCTGAGTTGGATACAGCCTTTGATAAGACCGATCCTCAGGACAGGCAACACAACCTGGTCTGCAACCGGAGAATGCTTGGACATATGATGTACATACACAATGTGCATTATTTCAAAAATTGAAATTTTGAAAACATGCTCAGATCAGGTGGGAAAAGGCCAACTCACTCTACCAACCTCAATAGTTAAAATTTTGGTATACCATTACCTATTACTAGTTCATTTGGAAAGAGTTCCATACACGGACAACACTTCATGCCTCTGTGCACAAACTTATGAGACTGTTCTGAAAAAAAAACCAACCTGTTTTCTAAGTAAAAGCTTTAGAATTTTCTTGGCTGTTTTTCACTTTTAGGATGTTTTCATTTGCTGATGGCTGTTATAATATTTGAAGGGAAAATAAGTGTTGTCCATATGCATGTATGTGCAAATGTGCACAGCCTAAATTGCAAGAAAAAAAATGATCAAAATGCATTACAGGGCATCTACATTTCAAACTTTTCCTGGGGCCCTTAAGCAGGCCCCGGACCCCACGCCGTACATACTTCGCGCTTCATGCTTGTGATTTCAGCTATTTTTTGTATTCTACTCACACCCCCTGAAGTATTCAATGGTAATTCAAGCATTACCATTATTCATGTATTTGTACTTGCGTCTTGCATTAGAGTGTATTATTATTATTAAGGGAATGAAAGTGTGGTGGAGCGTGTATTAACCTGTACATGTAGGTTAGAAATGGTAAGGGGCCTGGTCAGCAATAATGGCCTGAGCTGCAGTGGGTTAGCTACTGTTACAACCACTCGTCAGAACACAGTGGTGGCTTGTATTGAGTCAATGAGTGTATGAAAGGCATTTGACATGTCCCTTTTTTGCTTTTCAGTCCTATCATATCAGTACAGACTACAGCAGTGTTTCACTGAGGACCCGTTATGGTGGCCAGATAGTAACATGACTCAGATATCATTTCAAAAAGCAAAGGATAGTTGTTGCAACTTCCTAACCTTCCTAGTTCAGGATGAATAAATTACCCATATGGGACAGGTTGAAACATAAGTTAGTTTATAACTGGTCTTAAATGTTGAAGCTTTACTCCAAAAAGTGCACATTGTTATATTCAGGTTCTTGGGCCCCTTTTTACACAGCAGACATTATTTAATTGCAGCAGGCATTATCAAATGTTAATGCATGATCACATGGTGTACTGGCATTGTCAACCAATTGGAATAGTGAAACTGTCACAGGTGTTTGTTAATATTTTACATTGATTTTGATTTTGCTCTACAAACGTGCACATGAAGGGGGTGTGGATAGTGCTCTAGCAATTTAGTGTAGCTTCATGACTTTTGCATGACTGGCCTGGCAAAATGTTTTCCTATCCTTTTTAGTAAATCATGATATATCCTGTACTCTTTCCATCACTTCATGTACACTGGCATTATAAGCTGACAGTTTACATGTATAGCTGCATGTATGGAAACTGGACTTCTGTAACACAAATGCAGTGGACATAATGCAGCATATCACTGGCAGCCACTAGGGCATATTGATATTGATGTGTTTAAAGTAGGCATACAATATTTATAGTGATGTCGAACAATTGCTGGGAGCAAAAAAATGCTAATGCTGCATTCCATTAGATAGTCCCTGAAAACAGTGAAGGTAATGCGCATGGACTGGGAATTTCAGATGTGAAATGCCTCATTAACCACTGCATGTAACGTACATGTAAGAAGGAAATATGGCCTCCATTTTCTTTGTACATGAATGCAAGCATGGAGCAGAAGAGTACATGTACATGTACTGTAGAATGCTGCTGAATTAGATGATTTGCTAGTTTTGCTACTTCTTATTTTGGCCCTGCATTTCCTTGAATTTCTGCTAGTAATTGTGGCCAGTTGCTTTCAAGTTTACACCCTTGAGATCCACAGAATGCATGAAATATGTCAATGTTATTTACTGGTAAATGAACATGTAAATGAGTCATTCCATCCCACACACGAGACCTTTTTGTCTGTGGCTCTTTTGTTTTGTAAAATAGTCACTGGAATCTAGAGCAGATACATGTAAGTTAGTCAGTTTGAGTGGAGCAAAGGCTTTCCAGCTGCACTGGTAATATTACGCACTGTGAATTGAATTGTTACACATAACATGGTGAGATTTGTGTTTGATATCTCTGTTAAGGTGTTTTACTGAAAGAAGTTGATACTAAACACGAAAAATGGGTATTTTGAGGGATATCTTTAGGCAGACACAAGACTGTCTGCTGTTGAGCCTTAAAAACCACCAGCGATTATTCTGTGAATATTTGATTTTCATCCATTCTCACCTCTGACATAAGTTGTCATCCATTCACATGACAACTTTGAGAATATTAGGATTGAAATGTAATGGAAGCCTTAATACAGGTACATTTTCCAGTACATGTACTTCAGTAATGATTTGAAGTCACTTACCATTACAGCTGATGACCTGTTGCAGCAAGAATTACCTAAAGGGGAAGATCTTCGTAAACTATTGCAACGCCAGTTGGAGTACTATTTCTCAAGGTTAGTCAGTTTTTGCATGTGATTAAGTTGAATTGGCACTTCATTGTCAATTAGAGGAGTTTTAGGGAGTCATTTTAATGGATTTAGTAGTGTGCCTTGAAAAACAGGAAGGAATCAATATACTGGGTGACAAACACAAACATTTGAAGTTTCGCTTTTGCTTTTTAAGTTTTTACATTGTTACCACAGTGTAATAAAAGGATAAGCTGAGCCGATAGACACATGTATTGTTTACAGCTTATTATATTCGACCAGTGCTAATTGCACATTATTCCTCCCACCCAAACTCACCTGTCCCATGGCCAATCTCTTTGCCACTTGACATTCAAGTAAAGGCATCCATTTTAAGTACCCGGTACATGTATAATATTTTTATAAAGCCACTTACGGTATAGTACCTGCTCGCATGCATATTGGCCCATGTATTAAGTACACGGTGATGATAGAAGTTAACATTTCTGGCTGACCTACCAGTGAGTATTTTGCAGGATTGGTAGATTAGATTCATAAAGGTGGTATCAAACTGACCACAAGGCATCAGTGGAGAACTCCCTAAGGCCAAGAAGTGGGAAGCATTAACCCCAAAAATTGGCCTTTACAAGGAAACAACCATTGAAAGGTTGCTTATTTTCTTTTTATTCAGGTAGCTGAGAAAAAACCTACAAGATTATCAGACATTTGATTTATTTGAAATTGAGTGTTGGCTACAGAGTTATTAAAATATTTTTTAAATTTTTTTTTACCAAGGGAATTGGATCATTGGACAGGTGGCACAAGTGAAATTTCAGGTTTTTCCATCAGTATTGCCAGAGGCCAGGACAATCAGGGCCTACATGTATACACTCTGGAAATCTCCCTCCCCCAACACACACAGCACAATGCATGTCTAGAGCATCAGGCATTGCTTTGGATATTATGTCATATTTTCAGATAAGATTGTCTTGATTTCATTGAATTTTGGGGGCTTTTTGTGGGAGGGGAGGATTACTCGGAGACACCAGGACTAATGACTGGTACATTTGTAAAGTTTTATTTTTTATGGGCCTTGTGGATTTTTAGTGAAGATTTTATAAAATATTTGGTTGCTATGTTATATGCTGATATCCATTGTGTTTGTCTAGGGGAAGTCTATGACTCTACTGCCCATTATTTATTTAGGCTTCATTGATACCAAGTGATGCTTTTAGGCATTACTTTTTACATGGGGGACAAATATTTTGAAAAGTCTGGTATTGACAGAGCCTACAGAAACATAGGAACTCTCCTTCCTACCAGTAGCAATTATGTTTGGTACCATCCTGGATCCCCAAATGAAACTGCTCAACTGAACAGATTGCAAATGACATACATCTACTCATTTTAAAGAGACTCATTCCTTATTGAGATGCCATAAAACCGTGATTATTACTTGCTGACTGGTGATTTTAAAAATGGCCATTTTTTATATTCCTTTTCTGTCATTGTTTACCACTCAGACTACACAACAGAAATTCATATGAACAAATCTGGTCCGTGTTTTTGCAATCTTTACACTTCGGCTAGGTGAACATGTGCAGTAAATAATGAACTCTGGTAAACATTGGGCGTGATGTGAAAAGTTGTTCAGACTTTGACATCTGATTTATGTTACATTGCACATGTGTAAAGATTCGTGTTGTAGTACAAATGTGGCTAAGTGTTGTGTCTATCAACCATGGGACACTCTAAATTTTATCCATTCATTTCAACATCAGCCACACTGGAGTGCAAAATCTAGTTTTATGTCCTGTATCACAGAGAGAAAAACCCAGGTACATGTACCAGCACGATTTGCAATTCTCCAGTGTCTTTCATGAGCATTTGCTTGTTTAGTAATTTACCCCACATTAGAAGTTGGATTCCAAAAAGAGAATTAGCTGCAATTAACTTGAAGTGTCATAAGGAATTTTGCCGATATTTGTGTCCTTGTATTCAGACTTTTTCTTGATTTAGCATCCTATTGCCTGGTGCAATTATGCATGGTGCAAAAGTACATATGTAATGCACAAAAAAATGAAACAGTCACTTAATATTGCTTTTTGGACAGAGCATAGCTGTTCTAATTACAACATGAGCAACATACATGTATTGAAAAAGTACTAACACATGTCTGTATACCATAATATTTAGAGTATAAGCCACAGCTTATACATGTACGTCCATTCCCCACTGGAAACTGTCTCTGTTGCTTATATGCCGGGTGCCTTATACGGCAAAGTTTGAAGGATAAAATCAGTAATAAAAGCCGTGCCCAGGCCACGCATATATGTACCATGTGCATGTGGGATTGTCGTTTACATCTGAAAACTTGAACCTCAGAGAATAAATAAAAATTTGAGTCGTTTGGATTTCAAGTTATTAGTGGAATTCCCTGAGTCATGGAGTTACGAAACACATACATGTACATGAAATGTGTACGTAATCTTAAACTTTAATTACCGTGTGGCAAGATTTCTTAGTGATTATTTTCTCACTGTATATTCAATCTCATGGTATATTTGTTGCAGATAAATAATCATTTTACTCAGATTGTTTTATTGTTTTAACGTAAAGATTTCTTTCTACCGTTAAATAAAAATCAACTGCCTCAGCGGTGTACATGTACCTTCATGTGGCAGATCGTTCGTCTTTTTGCTGATCATGTTTAGCGTGACATGCCACAATATTTGGGTTTTTTTTTTTCACTTAAGTTTTCTTACACTTTCTGTGGTCACGTGGTTATTGGAGTCAGCAATTAGACTGTCCATGAATGGGTCTGCGGTAGCAGTCAGGCAACCCTGAAAACAGGGTTTACGAGATTGCAGTGGTGCTTGCATGCGTGTGTGCCATATCACGTGCAGCATGCATGCAACACAAGAGGTTCCAATGTGATGACTCGAACCAAGGGCTCACGGCAGATTTTTCATTTTTCAAGTAAATTGGCAGTTTTTTTTAATCAGTGTCACAAAAACTGGATATAGTGTTGTGGACAGTCACACAGGTATTTTTTTTCATAAAAGCCTATTGTTTTAGCAAGAAATAGTCAACCTACAAAATAAAGCAAGATCTCATTTACATCCCTGACTGCAAAACTATTGCAGGCTGCTGGAAAAAAGGCAAGCGCTCAAGCACAGCCCATGTAGGACCACCATCCAGTCTACAAAATATTTAATTTGTGGACATAAAGTTCACTTTTTGTGGCGACACTCGTTCGCATTTTGCTTTATGCTTAATTCCATAAATTAGGGGTCGAAAAGTGTGACATTTTTGTGTCCCTGTTACATCTGACCTTTGTTATTTGACAGAGAAATATCACCAGAATTGATTTCAAATTATTACTAGTTGTTTGGCAAGTAATTTGCATTAATTCCTCACTCTTGGGAAATTAGAAAATGTGTTCTGAACTTAAAAAATCATATGTCAGATGTGACAGGGACACGAAAAAAAATACCCTGGTATTTTTATTAGGATTTCACGTGTAGTGGAACCATTGATGTACTGTACATGCTGTATTGGCACTTCAGCATGCAGTACAATGATCTTTGTGGTTGGATCATCAGAACTGCGGTGTGGCTTATACGCTGGTGCAGCTTATACACCGACTTTAAATCTTAATTTGCCAATTTTTGCATGCTGTGGCTTATATACCAGACGGCTTGTATTCCAAAACTTACGGTATTCACCCTTATGTATTAATTTGTTCATGTGCACTATTTTGCTCTTCTGCAGGCATTTATTTTATGTACACATTTTTATTTCTGCAATGTAATCTGGCTGTCTGTTGCTACATATAGATTTACATTCAAAGGATAAAGGAGGTAGAAAAAGCTACAAATGTACATACTTTTGTACTATCAACCCTAGAGGAATTTCGGTCACTCTAGTCACATGTAAATAACTCTTCAGCATTGATATGTATATTTTTACCTGATTCCCATGTACATTTCTCTTCGGTTGTCACTGGTCACGTTGTTTGCCCTGGGGTTAGGCATATGGATACATTGATGTACATGTACTACATAGGAATGCAGTACAGGAATGCCGTAAGTCTGCACCATAGTGGAAAAATTTGCACATGTACAGTACTTGATGGGATCCTCGGCTGTGAATATTCATGAACAAAATTTAGACTGTTCTACATCTAAGTAACTTATTATAAATCTGAACCTCAAAACATGCAACAGTATTGACTAGAAATGGCCAATGTCTCTTTCTTTCTTTTGAACATAATAAGAAAAAAGTTGGCTTATTGAATTTTTCCACTTCATGCAATCCACAGGGAGAACTTGGCAAATGACAGGTATCTTCAGTCCCAGATGGATGCTGACCAGTATGTTCCAATTTCTACCATAGCAAACTTCAATGCTGTCAAGAAATTAACCAAGGATATGCCACTTATTGTTGAGGTCCTACGAGGTTAGTTTTCCTGTTGATTTTTCTCTGCCGTCAGAGCTGCAAGAAGCAGAATCACTTCCAAAAATGTGGTCCTTAGACAAAAATCCACCATTTCTCATTTCTTAATGCAGTGTCTGTCATGGTAAATTTATGTACTCGTATGTGAACATAGCTGTAGGAAATGCTTGCCAACATCATTTTAGCTGAAGTGCATGCCTGTGGTGAGGGGTTTACATGTAGGTATGGTTTTCTTGAAATTGCATATGGATCTGTCTATACTAAATGTTAAAACTTCACACCACCAGCATCCTCTCTTTTAGGCAAAAAGTCCTTAACCACTTCATGCCGGGGCATTTTTCAATGTTGATGATGCCGGCATGGCTATCATTTTTTCTGTTTTCAAAATCCTTCAAAAAGTCATTTCATTTAACGGTCGTTTATAGCCACACAAAGTAATCTTTAGGCACTACTCTAAGTTGACAGGTGACCTTCATTGACGCTCGAGTATTTCAGCCAGGCCTGCAGCCTTGTAAACAGAGCCCAGATTGTGCGGTGTTGTATAACTGTCTTTTGTTCACAAACCTGGCTCAGTGCACTGGTGACCTCTTTTCAATAGAGGCCAGATTAGCGTGCAGAGGTGCTGTGTGGCTCATCGCTGAGGTGGTGGAGCGCTTTTGTCCCCGGTGGTAATCCGCTTGCTCTAAATACCCCAAACCCTGGTATACAGTTTCAAAACAAGGCTGGATTATCACCACTTTTGAGAGTGAAAAATGTTGGTAATGCCCAGCAGCCTGGTCTTTTGTTTGGAGTACGGTCTTTTGTTACAGGGCCCTGTTTCCTTTGTCGGATTCCGGAGTCCCTGGCAGAAAGTGGTTAAGATTAAACCCACATAACTGCCAAAATACTGCTTTACGTTAACTGCCTGGGGTGTGTTTGAAATCAGAAGTACGTTGGAGGATTTATCCCCATCACATTATCTGTTATCTGCGGTCTTTCTGGTGTAACAGCCATTAACAGGAAAGCACTTGAGCAAAAAAGGTAACATTTGGCAGTTGAAAATTCATACTTGTTGTCACTCAGTTGTAACATGTAGTGTGGACAGACCCATATGTTCTCTTTACTTCAAGGAATATGAATTATTCTTTTCCTCTAGCTTAACAAACGTTTAATAAGGAATCATATTCCAGAAAAAGTCACCAGTGAGCAAATTGTAATACTTGAGCAATAGTAAGATTGCCAGTAACAAATGAACTTTAGAACAGTTATTAGAACCAGAGGTTTTGTCCATTTTTCCTTGTATGCTAATCTATACTGGGTTAAATTAGAAATAACATGAACATATGCCCATCTAGAACTAGAACATGACAGCAGCTGAGATGTACAGGTTAATTGAACATTCCTATTACTGGCAGCATTTCTTGTAGATCCCATTACGTCTCTGATTGTGGCATTCTTCTTGTATGTTCACAAACGTCGTGCATAAAAAAGGCACTACTTAATTGGAATATTCTTCATTACAGAATCACCTTGTGTTAAAGTGGATGACAAAGGAGAGATGGTCCGACCTAACCACAAGAGATGCACTGTCATCTTAAGAGAGGTTTCAGAGGCAACTCCTCTTGAGGTTTGTTACCTTTCAATTACACATCAAAATTTATATAATGTCCTTTTATTCTGTGTCTAAAGTTTAGAGGTAGAATGGTATACACATGGGAAAATGGCAAATTCTTTTTTAAGTTTCACTTTGAAGAATTGTTATATCAGATGGAATTTCCAAGAACTAAATACAGGAGTGCTTCAGGGGGTGCTGCCTCCTGGACACCCCACTGGGGGTTTAAAGGTTAACTGAAATAAAGATCAATTAGTTCACGTGAAGTTTTTCAAAATAACAATAACTATGTTACCATTTCACAAACATCATAATTTCAATGTGTACCCCATTAATCATGACCCCAAAATGATTAAAAATGTCCTGCGTTCCCCGCCCACAAAAAATCCCCTTTTGGTCTTTCAAGTTCAAGTTGATTTGATGATGTCATCACCAGAATGCCTATAAGTACAGTGTACATGTAAAGTGCATGATCTCACACAGAACATGCAGTATCGAACGCTTGCAGTAGACTTCATTGTGTTCGATGTAGCTTGGCCCACAGGCAAACACTGCCTCCATTCAAGGGTGAAATTAAAAGACACAGTCCTAGCTAGCACAGTGTTTGCCTGTGGGCCAAGCTACATCAAACACAACGTGGTCTGTTGCAAATGTGCGATACTACATGTACTGTGTGCAATCATGCAATGTACACGTACACTGTACATGTAGGGTTCTGGCGATGACGTCATCAAATCAGCCAGAGAGCGGGTACGGCCAAACAGGGATTTTTGTGGGCGGGGAAAGGCAGGATCTTTTTATTCATTTTGGGGTCATGATTAATGGGGTACACATTAAATATATGATGTTTTCGAAATGGTTACGTAGTAATTGTTATTTTGAAATACTTCACCTAAACTAAATGTTTTCTATTTCTGTTAACCTTTAAAAGCAAGAAATTTGGGAGCAAACTTCCTTACCGGGGCTTTGCTCAGTTTGCAGTGGCAAAAAGGGCCGCATGCGAGAAAGTTCTCCAAGAGCCAACGCCCATTGTTCATGAGGCCGTGTCTGAAGTAAGGGTTCTTACTAAACATATTACTCTGTTGTTCATTCAGAACAGTATTTGCAAATTAGTTATTTATACTTGAGCATCAATCAAGGGGCATAGCCTAGTCGAAGACGTGAATTATGAACTAGAGGAGACCATTTGCTGCAGTGGATGTTGTGGCTCTGTCCACGCAAAGGCATTTGTGCAAAGGCGCAAGTGATAAGCAGAACTAGCCAGTTTACAGCTGTGATGTGAGTTTTGTGTGACTCAGTAGCCCAGTAGTTCATGTCAAGGAAAACAATCTTTGTCAAGAGAATGGTCATGGAGATGGCTGGAGAGAAATGTTAATATAAGTCCTCAAGGACTTGGAAGATATACAGATGCAACCTTATCAGTAGTTGTCACGATATTGATTGCAATGGACTAATTCCACTTATTTATTGTATTTTACCAATTCCTCCTGTTCTTAGGAAGTGAAAGCACTTTTCACCGGTGAAAACTGTCCCAAATTTGTCAGCTGCGAGTTTGCACATAACAGCAACTGGTACATCACTTTTGAGTCTGATGCAGATGCTCAGAAGGCGTATCGATACATTCGTGAGGAGGTTGGAGTGTTTCAAGGGAAGCCTATTATGGTAAGCATAATCACTTCCAAGCTACAAGCTGAAATGATAAAGTTTAGTATACCCATACACTTCCATCATAGTCTGCTTTTGGTGGAGTTCACAGTGACAGCTCTCTCACCATAGACCTTTTTATAATAAATTCATAATTATGTATAGGTGCTTGTTTCATTCAATATCATGCACTCGGGATGGAAGCAATGTTAAAAGTCTATTTTGTACACCAAAAACCTCATGCCTAGAAGAAATAGCAATAACATTTTGTGAGGAGTTTTGGCGGAAAAAAGGACTTTGCCATTGTACATTTTCAGTTGGTTACTCATGCATTTTGCTACCATGCCCATTTATGTGTTCCTGCATAAAATGAATTATAAGTGAAAAGGACCCCAGGGTCAGGTTAATTTGGCAACAGAAGGTTTGCAGCCTTGATTTAAAGCACACGCTGATAAGGACCTTGACAGAAACTGAATGCATTCAACTTTATAACTTGATGCACAGGTAGTTTTTAATTTACTTGATTTTTTAAAAGTTCTTGACACCCGGTTCAAGTCTTTACACAATTGTCAGGTAAGTTAACACAACAAGGTGGGTCACGTTTGTGACTTGTCTTCTGAGTTTTGGTACATTATCTAATCTGAAGTTCAGGGTTTACTATTGGCGTGTACATGTAGATGGGAGTACCACAACCGCAGTGTGATTTTTGTTTCCTTCAACAGGCAAGAATAAAGGCTAAGCCACTTCAGAGAATAAACTTCTCCCCCAAGCCATCACCTGTCAATGGGTACACCAGCACAGGCCAACAGATGTTCACACAACAGTTTCAGTACCCTCCGTCACATCTCAACAATATCAGTCAGCAGCCTCCACAACAGCAACAACAGTCCTCCCAACAGCAACAGCAGCAACAAAGTCAATCGCAGCAGCAGCAGCAGTACCCATTTTATTCTGCAGGAGTTGGACAATCGCAGCAGCAGTGGGGCGTGACAAGTTCGTCTTATTTTGAGACACCACCAATGGTGAGTGTGCATTTTTGTTTTCAGGGAATATGAAACTTTTTTTTTTTTCCAATTCAGAGAAAAACTTGAAGATAATTATTTCCTTAGAATTTACCTTGACCGTGCCAAAAATATTTGAGGATTAGAAAAAAATGTTGCCTAACCCTGAAGCAGTTTTAACCACTTTTCCTCCTGGAGGAATTGTGCAAAAAGTCTGGCTAACTGTGAACACTGATGGGCTGAAACATCGAGCGAGCCCTAACTCACCTATGGCTGATGTTTAAATGTACTCATCCTTAATTATTTTGTACATACAAAGTCCAAGAAGTCTGGAGGCAGGCAGGTATTAAATTTGAATATCATTTGTCCATCACTTAATTAGCAATTCTATACAAACATAACAGGGCTATATTCAGCAGTTTTAGGGTATTTAGGAGAATGCATGGATTCTAACAATTTGCTTATGAGCAATATTGATGAGAGCTGAAGTAACCGTTATCTGTAAAAACATAACAAGTACAGTTGTCAATGTTTGACATTGAGTGTGCATTTGTTCAGACTGATGTAAAGGTTGGTTATGGAAGGCAGTAATGAGTCGTAGTCTGATACGTTTGCTGCTATGTTTGGTTTACAGCAACAGCCTCAGGCCTTTTCTCCTGGTGCCTTCCCTCCTCCACCACCCCCACCCCCTCCACAGAACAAGTTCCAGGCAGTCAATGTCAATCGACAACATGCATATCAGGGACCTCATTCAAGGTAGGCACAGGTCATTCCTGACCCTTGGGTAGTTACAAGTAAAGCTACAGTGATTCTTAGACTGAATTGTAGAGTTGCACACCTGACTGAAATACTGTATAGAATTGCTTCATTCTTGACACTTTTTTGAATGCATGGTTCTGCATACAGTGTCTACTGCTTGATTTTAACTCAAAACTGATGTATTTCCTTGCAAATCGATATTGACTTATACAATGTTGACCGTAATCTCTCTGCAATGTGGAAAAGTGATACTGATATTGGAGGACTCTGAACACTTGTTGTTAATAAACAGTAAGGAAGGTAGGTATTTGATAAAAAGGTGAAGGGCAATATCCAAAAAAGCTGTAAAGCTTCAACAGAAACAGCCTGGACAGAACAAAATACAAACTCTGGGTGATACGGGTAATTCCAGAAATTAGGGGTCCATTTTTTTGTTGTGTCCCTGTCACATCTGACATGATTTTGCAAGTTCAGAACACATTTTCTAATTTCTATAAGTGGTGAATTAATGCAAATTACCTGTCAAAGAAATAGTAATGTTTGAAGTCAATTCCATTGATGTGTCCTTACAAAGGTCAGATGTAACAGGGACACAAAAATGTCACACCTTTGGACCCCTGATTTCTGGAATTACCCATATATGTTCCATCAAGGTGTCCAGTAATTGTAGGATCTGATTTTTCTGCAATATTGACCCTTGAACTTTTTTGCTGTGAATGAAATACAGGCCACATCATAAGAGCCATTCACGTACCTCCAGCACGCCTGAGCTGAGGACCACAGACCGTGTCAACAATTCATTGTTCCAAGAAAATTCCATCCATCGGTCACACTCAGAGAGACGAACCACTCCCAATGGGCCACAGGTGGTCAGCCCCAGGGGCGTGTTCGACTCACTGCGAGGGGGAGATGTGGCTCCAGAGAGACGTGATGATCGAGATAGGCGGGATGACAAGGAGAGAGATCGAGACAGGGAGATGACATACAGCAGAAGGAGAGATATACCTCCAGCATCCACTCTGCCTGTGTCATCATCCTCTACATCAAGAAATCGTTACCAAGATGAATCCCCTAATAGTAGTGCCAATTCCTTACCGCCAAATTCCAGAGGGTATGCTTTATCTGAGACCGTAATCATGACATTAGTCAAAGTATATATACAGGTACAACTCGGTCATGGTTCATTCCCTTCAGGAGAAAAGGATAGTATGTTAAACAAAACCTCCATAATTCAAAATGCCCTTGTAGTACCTCAGTTAAAACTCAGTAGTTTGTTCAGCAAATACAACAGAAACAGCTGCCAAAACAGGAAAAGACAGTAAACAGATAGTACAACATTTTTATGAGATATCACTTCCTAATACACCTTGTCTTTTCACATTCGGATATGGTGGATACGCTACCACTATGATCAGTCACAATATCCAGCCTGTAACTGCCGTAGTTATAGTCTTTGCAATTTGCTGCTCACCCAAATGTGACCTGCAGACAGGCAGTGCAATATGCTGTGTCTGTTTTGGAACCTTTAGTACAGCTTGCGTTCCTGGCTTTATGCCAATCGCAACAAAGTGCAGCAGAGTAAAACAGCAAGAAGTATAGATTTGCTGTCAGCATGGTGAGCGGTTTGGCTGGAGCAGACATGTTTAGAGAAGAACTGTTTAGAATCTGACAAAAAGGTTTTTACAGTCCACAAAGAGAAAGGAAAATGTGTCCATCCCCTCCAGGTATAGCAAGTTACAGTGAGTCAGACTGGAACTCAAAACTGAAACCTCGCTTAACTTGAACTCAGGATGTATCAGGTTTTTCCTCTATTACCTGAGATTTAACTAGACAAGAGTTTATCTACTGGGTTCATGGAATACTTATTGTTTCCTGCTGGACAGAATTTCATATTTCTGACATGGATACAGGGATACCTGCAACTACACCATTGTTGACATATTGTAGATTTCCCCATACACATCTATTTACTTTATATTGCAATAGCTGTATTCAACAACTGCATGTAGCTTTCATCATACAGTACCTCAATTCTGTTAGCTTTTGGCTCAATTTGCTCTTAATGAAACCTGTGGAACTCATTGCAGGTCCCGTGTTGGTACCAGCTACCGTGATCGACGGCCTAGACGAAGGGAAGATGAGCTCCAAAATCGCCGAAATTCTCGGGATATTCGAGACTCACGAGACAAAGAGCAGCTTGCACAAACAGCAAAGGAACTGCCCAAGGCACCTTCACCACAGATAGACCTTGCCTCCTTCCCACCACTGCCTGGCCGAACGATGATAGAGAGTGAGGGTAGTGACAAGAAGGAAGAGGAAACTAACAACAATGACCTAGTCACACCCATGGCTGACATTGTCAAGGGAGTGAAGGATCCTAAGGTAAGAGCAACCATCAGACCATGTCAAGTACAATGTATTGTGGTACGTAACCACTTCATGCCGGGACATTTTTCAATGTTGATGATGCTGGGCCGGCATGACTATCATTTTTTCCGTTTTCAAAATCCTTCAAAAATTCATCATGTCATTTAATGGTCGTTTATAGCCACACCAAGTAATCTTTAGGCACTACTCTAAGTTGCCAGGTGACCTTCATTGACGCTCGAGTATTTCAGCCAGGCCTGCAGCCTTGTAAACAGAGCCCAGATTGTGCGGTGTTGTATAACTTTCTTTTTGTTCACGAACCTGGCTCAGTGCACTGGTGACCTCTTTTCAATAGAGGCCAGATTAGCGTGCAGCAGCGCTGTGTGGCTCATCGCTGCGGTGGTGGAGCGCTTTTGTCCCCAGTGGTAATCCGCTCACTCTCAATGCCCCAAACCCTGGTATACAGTTTCAAAACAAGGCTGAGAGTGAAAAATGTCAATAATGCCCAGCATCCTGGTCTTGTGTTCGGAGTACGGTCTTTTGTTACAGGGTCCTGTTTCCTTTGTCCGAGTTCAGAGACCCCGGCCACGCATATAAACCATGCATCTCTAATTTGAGAGTCCCTGGCAGGAAATGGATAATAAACATGTGACTGTGTTGTCTCTCTGTGTATCAGGTGGCAAAAATTGACAGTTAATAGTTAACAACTGAACTCTTATTCTTTTTGATAGCTCAAAAGTCACATTGCATATGCAGCCAACTTGTATTGTACCATACATGAATACATGCCACGCCATACTGCTTTTGATGGAAGAGTACATGGACATCCCCACCTGTCACACTTTATAGCAACTTAGATCTTCATTATTTGGGTTGATGATTTACTGATGCTATGATTCCATGTTGACAGCGTGCTGCCAAATCTCAGGAACCATGTAAGCCAAACCATCCAGCAACGAAGGACAGTGCCACTAACACAAGTAGCACGGGTGACAGCAAAGAACAGCCACCGTCCACAGCAGCTGCTAAAACACCCACCTCATTGCCTAGGTATTGTTGTGTTCAGTTCTAATGGAGCCGTTGGCCTACAGCGGCCATCTAGGGGTTGTTGTAGTATACAAGCTATGAAGGCACAAAAGAATTGTGCATGTGTATCTTATTGAACAAAAGTACATGGCCCTGGACAGCTGTTGTGCAAAGGATTTGTTTGGACAGGGAGAGAAGATAACTATTTGTATGAGTGGATATTTGTCAACTCTATTTCTTCTGTTGGAGTTCATACTAAGAAGTACTTTACAAAAACTATAACTACTTTACATAATCTTTGACCAAAAAAGTGTTTGTAATTTTTTACTGTGCAGTTGTAAATCTGCGTAAAAGCAGATCTGTGGTTGCTCAGTTGTCAGTGGCTAGAGCAATGGATGTTTGTATTAGCAAGCTGATGAAAAGCAATACAAACAAGATTTTCTCATTGTTATCCGGCGTGTTTGACATAAATTCATTAGTGACCAATAGAGTTATACAAGAGACAAAAATAAAAACTGTGACCCAAGACATGAATAAGCATTTACAAGTTAAGGTAAACCATCTTGAGATAAAAGGAAAGCTGGATGTAAATTGGCATAGTGGTAAAATAGGTTACAAATATGTCTTAACATTTGTTATTACATGTTGTGTGATTGGCTGTTGTGTTCATATTGTCCGTTAGCAAACAGACACAAGTACCAGTTGCCACCCAGACTGACCTGGATCTGTCTCCCAGTCCTGAAGCTAAGTCAGGACCAGTCACCAGCCAACACCATGCCAAGGTTAGCCAGACTACCAGCACAGCTGTTAACACAACAGTGACTGCTCCAGTCTCTCCTGCTGCAGTAGTTGCCAGAACAACTCCCACAACAGGAAGCACACAGACAGTGAGCACAGGGAGTCAGACTACTGATTGTCAAACTTTACCATCAATTAGTGCCTCATGCTCAGCCAGTACAACCACACAAGCAACTGTGAGTATGCTAGAGGGCAACAATCTCAAGGAGTTTAGTAAAGCTCATTGAGTATCGTGTAGTCATTAGAGAGGAAAAGGCTTGGGATGGGGCTTCATAGTGCAGGAAAACATGGAGTTGTCTTAGAATTGTAAACAATTATGGCACACTTGACTCTCCATGGGCAGTACTTGGGTGTTTGGCTTCATTTATTTAGATCTGGTGGGTAAATATGCCATGTTCAAAAAAACTACAATTTCTGGCCAAGAGTAATCCCATGTCCAGAGCTTTGTTCAAGGCAAAATAACCATATAGGAAATCTGTAAGCAACTTGGATGCTAATTGATATGGAAGTAGCGCTGGTCATGATGAATTGTTTATCCATTGTTCTTCATTCAGGACTCGGCAGTGCCACGTCTTAGCTACGCTGCAGTTACAGGAAAAAAAGCAGCTAAGACAACTGCAGCATCAACATCCACTGCAACAGTGTCTCAAGCATCTACGTCGAGTACCACAGCTACTTGTAGTACTCCAACCACTCATTCCACTGAGTCCTCCATGCAACCAAGACAGAGCCAGCTACCACAGGCATCAACTTCATTGCAGACACATCCACAGGCAAACACATACACAGGGCCACCAAATAAGCCCTACATTCGGCCAAGGTATGGTATGCGTGGCAATGACAGAGAGCAGAACTTTGATCCCAGCTTCAAGTACAGGAGAGATTACTATACTGGTCGGAGGTCCCCACCACAACCTCGGTATATGAATACGAAGTAAGGAACAAGCTGGCTGTTTACATGGGTTGCCTTTAGGATTTGTCATGTCAGTTGGAATCACAAGGATTGAGGTCAGACGATGGGGCTTATAATTGCAGTTACTTTTCCTCAGGGTTATTGCTGTATCATTTACCTTGAAGCATTATCCATTGAATAGACGAGTCCTGTATCAGTAGCCAAGAACATTTGGATCAAGTGTCACCAAACGCAGTCTTGTTGTGACTGATTGGTGGATATCTGTATTGCAGCGGTGTACTTGTGTATCACATGAGGGGGGTAGTACAGGTTGTCAATGGGACATCTCCATAGAACTTTGTCTTCAGCCCCAAAAGAGATTGCACTTTGTGCGAGACGCTCCCCCCCTTATGGCAAACAAATGGACAAAACTCAAAAGTTTTTTGAGTATCCATAAGATACATATGGTAGGAAAGCTGGAACAGGGGATGTGATCAAGTAAACATTGATTGCATGATGATGAATAGTGCTTCATTATTGAGGTAGTAAAATACCAGTGTTTTGACTGAAAGTCCTTACGTGTTGGTACATAAGAAGATATGACTTATCAACATCTGTAGCCTCATTGGTGCTTCAGAATTTTGAGTGTATCAGCAGTCTAGAAGATGTGAGAAGTCTACTTTGTATTTAAGTCTGTCACTTGAAACTATAAATCTCAACAAAGGGCAGCCTAACAAGTGGTGAGAGCTCTGAGTTTACACAATCAGTGTGTAAAACAGTAATAGCGTGCTGGGTTTGTTTCAACAAGTTAAATAAAATGACTACATGTACAGGTGTACTTAAGAAAAGGAACTGTGAGTTGGAGTCAAAGACCAGTGTTATGCTGTAAATTTAATTTGATGATACAGAAAGATAAACAGATTGAGGTGCAAGAGATTTGGAGCTACGATAGTCTAACAAAGGCTGTAATTGTTGCTCCAGCATTGTCACAGCACGTTAGTGGCACAAAACATGCATGAAACATGTTTTAAAAACACTACTGTTGCTCTCTAAGATCTCTGCCAGTACGAGTAAAGTTCAGTTTCCACAATACGCATGGTTTGTGTTGCAGCCAATAATTGGTTTGCCACTCTTTCCAAATAATAGCCAGGTTTTTTACATGTAGTCTACCCTGTTTTCGCACTTTGGAATGATACCAGAAACTGACTTGAAATGTCAAGTCCAGTGTGGATGCATGATAAATAGCCTGTTTGCTATTTAGGTTGCCAAACACTTTCATCTGATGTTCTACCAGACGCTTCCTGTTTGCACTAACTTATCCCTACTGACCAAGCTTTACTAATTTGACAATGGAGAACTCTGTCAAGTTGGCATACTTTTTCACAGCTGTTGGGTGAATGTGAACAGTTCCCAGAATTGCTCATTGTGTCAAAGTGCCCAAACAGAATTCACAACAATCAAGGTAAACTGTTGGACTACAGACATTCTTCTTGTTCTAACAAGTAGTTCCAGTGACCAAAACCTAAAGGGACAGGTGCTTTGGAATGTCAACTTGCCATTTCAGGTGCCATGTTGATTGTCGAATGTTGGTCAAGTCTTACATTTTTTCATTCGTAATGCTTCTGGTAGACCTCCATTTTGTAGATTTCACTATTGGTAAATTCTAATTTTATTTATCTTAATGGTGGTGATGTTCTGGGCGTATTTTAATAAAATATGGTAGTCAAGTATTTATGCCATTTCTCCCATCTTCAGATGTGGTGGTTCTGAGTCTTCATTTGGCCTTGTTTTAGTTTTCGCATAAAGTTTACCCATTTTAAATGTTTGCTTAAGCCATTCTGCAAGTCAGTGTTATATGTATATAATTGTTCCTATTACCTAGTAATCCCTTATTGATTGATGTAGCTTAAGACTGAACCATCCAGTTGGGCAAATGGATACTGGCGATTGAACATAAAGAAATTCAACAAAATATAGTGGTTTTTTTATTTGTACTCAAAAAAAAATTGTGGATTTAATATATTTTTGAAAAATGTTGACATTGAACAGGGTGAAGATGTTTATAGTTCACCATTTCACCCTTGTCGCACATCTGGAACTGTACAGAGAAAATGTGAACTTCTCTGTGAGCAGTGCAAGGAGTTCCAACTCTCAGTCAGGTTCATTTCATATCATTTAGTCTGTATTTTTTGTTTTATTTCATTCGGTAGTGTCCAGTTTACACAGTGTATGGCATGTTCAAGAGAACAAATGAATGATTTTAGGTTGCATTGCGAGTCATGAAGTGGCTGGCTATCTGGGGAAGTGGTACAGTGCAGGGTAAGGGCAAACTGTCCTAGCTTTGCTGTGCTTTGCATTGGGACTATTGGACACAGAGGAGCAGTAACGGAAAGCAGTCAGAAAATGTGTCATGTCACATGATATTGTACAATTTGCATTTATACACAAGGTGGGAAACCCATTCATAATAAAACCTGTTGACCTTTTCAAAGCAGGGTGGACACAGTAGAAGGGCACTCTTCAAAGTGGTTTAATTTGGAGTTAACTCAGAAGATTTTGACCCCAACCAAATACCACCCTCCTATTGTGTTGCCCTACCTCAAATAGGCTAATTCAGTTTGCAGAAGGTTATGGTCATAACTTTCCTTTATACTAACAGTGGTATCACATAGGAACAAATAAGGACACAGTGGAAGGTATGCCTGCTCTCACTCTAACAGTCTACCAGCCACCATGAGTCACAAACTTGGACCCACATTGCCCTTCACCAGGGCATAGAGGTCATTGAAGCCTCCAGTGGCCATCATACTGTGCTGAATACAAAGCTTATACAAAGGCTCATTTGCCACTGTTAACCAAATTACTTTGTGGCATTAATAATTACAGTGGTTTCCAATGGCTTCTTTTGGTGCAAAAAATTGCGAGTCCAGATTTTGTATATGTACATTTGTGGCATGGGTGTCGGGGGAAGAAGTTCTTGGCCCCTGCCAGAAAAAAATTGAAAGAGAAAAGAAGAGTAAATGGAAAAGAAACAGAGAGGAGGAAAGGGGATGAAAATGAACAGTGTGTGAAAATACGATGAATTGGCCCCATACTCTGCTGAGGGTTGGTCAGGTTACTACTGATAGTGATCACCTCCCCCCGCCCGCCCCGCCCCTTGCTGGTAACATCCAGTTAGACATACCATACACTTGCTACAGCATGCTGGGTACAGGTGTGCCATTTCTCAAGAAAGCAATGGTTTTGTCACATCTCTTCTCTCTGCCCCTCAGCTTTGTCAACTGATCTGCAGTGATTGCTTCCCACACATATTTGTAAATGTAATGCGTGCATTACAAGCAGCAAGCTTTTCCTTTTGACACTAGTGTTGGTGCATTGTGGACTATTACAGGAGCCATTATGTGAGTGAAATAGTGCAGGGATAGTTGACATTGTCCAATTAACAGACTAACACGGGAGAAGGGTTTTACATTACTTGCCTTTACTTTGGAATGTTTGAGGGCAGAATTACATGGATGATTGGTTGATTAATGGACTCTCTAGTATAAACCACTGAATTTCTAATCACACATATAAATCCTAGTGATTGACATGCCATGTTTGCACACGGGGTCATGGGTACAGATGCAGCAAAATATGCTGAATTAATTTTCAGTTGGCTGTGTGTTTATAATGTCATTGTGTAATCATGTGCAGGTACACCATCTGAACCTTAGCATGTGGTGGAAATGACACTTGACACGTAAGACTCCTCCAGCAGTGGTTTTCATTTTAACTCTGAGGGTATAGTTGGGTACGCTGTCCACAGTTTAGACCACCTAAGAGGATCAAACATTACTTCACATGCTCCTTGGGAATTGATAAGACACAACCAGTTTTTCTGATCAGGGATGCTGGCCATAGGTGCATGAATGGGGTGCTGGTGCTATGGTAGGCCATCACTATTAATCTAATAACAAGAGTTTGCTGTTGACACAGTCATGCAGAGACTCTGTAATAATACTTCATTTAGCTAAGCTGGAAAGTAATTTTTCATTTTTGGGAATCCTGCTTGAGCACACATTCCATTTCATTCAAACTTGTCCAAAGAAGTTCTGAGAAGATAGCTCTTCGTGTTTGTAAAACAGGAACCCAATCTTAACCACTTCCTACCAGCTGGAATTTGCATAGGCGAGACTAGTTCTTGGATGATTTTCAAGATTTTCCATTTTTAAAATTCTTCAAAAATTCAGAACTTCATTTACTGGACATTTACGCCCACACGAATGACTGTCTGGTGGCTACTTAAATCTGAGAGGCAACCTCCCGAGTATTGTAGCCAGGCCTGCCACCCAGTAAAGAGAGCCCAGATTGTGCGGTGTTACGTAATTTCCTTTGTTTCTCAAAATGGCCCAGTGCGTTGCTGAATGGCAGTGGTGTCTTTTCAAATGCAGCCAGATTAGCGTGCAGCAGTACTGTATCACTCATCACTGGAGTACTTTGTCCCCACTGATAATCCACATGCACTGAATGCCGCAAACAGTGGTATACTGTTTCAAAACAATGACAAATTACCTTTGCTAATACCAACTGAAAAATGATGGCAATTCCCAGCAGCTCGGTCTTTTGTTCCGAGTATGGTCTTTTGTCACAAGGCCCGGTTCCTTTGTCCGATTTTGGGCACCCCCCCCGGCTATGTGTACAAACCCAAGGTACCCGATACCGGGAACCCTAGAGGCAAGTGTTTAAGAGACCTTGTTATGCAGTCACCTAGTGTGCTGTCCAGCGTTGAAATAACATCCCTGCTTGAAATTGTATGATTTGTATTTGAATTTAAGGGGAAAGTGTAATATCCTTGGTAGTGTTATTTATTTTCAAATAAACCACAGTCGTGGTCTTCCGTAACATTTCTGATAATACACAACCTGCAGAGGATTCATGAGTAGATAATGCCTAGGAGACTACTAAATCTGTGTAAATAATCCAGATATGAATGTTAAGGCTTTGAGTATGGTTTGCATGATCTAATGGAATTGGCCTAGTCTGTGTCTAGGATTCTCGTAAAAAGCTGCTACTTGGGCTAAGTTGTGCATGTGTTTTGGTTTTTCTTGTATGTCACACTTTGTTCAACATGACTGAAATGCAGTCCTACATATGTGTGAACCACAATTTTGTATGATATTATATGGTGCATTGTTACATTACTGCTTGGCTTGCACCTCTACCTGATGTAGCATAGCCAGGCCAGGAGTGAACACTTATGTGAAGATTAGTTGGTTCCAACAAAATGTTGCATTCAAATTCAGTGACATATTAGACCCGATAAGAAGACAATAGATATCTTGAAGAAACTGGTAACAAAATAATATTGTTTATATGTTTCCATATTAAGGAATATTCAGAGCTAAATGTATGATATATATTTTTTGAACAGTGATTTGTGAATTTTGTGAATTTCTCTTTTCAAGTAAAGCTAACTTTCCTGTTAAGCATTGGTCATCTGCAGTTTGTTTGCTGGTATTACAAAGGTAAAGATGCTTGTTTTCACTTTCTTTTCTATTTTGTGTGTTCTTGGGTGTGTGTATGATTGTTTGACTTGCCAGATTCACTGCTCAACAGGTTGATTTAGAATATCCACAGCTGTTTAACAGCCAACAGTTTAGAATTCTGATGATACCTTGTTTGTGTTCTATTTAAAGACACATGCATGACCCATGATAAACTATATGCAAGAGCTGAAGATGCTTGACCAAACCTGGGAAAGCTAAAAAGGGATTGAACAAAAAAAATGAGACGCCTTGAAATCTTCCTCTCCTTTTCTGGTACACATGGGTCTTTAAAGTTTGCCTAATTTACAGTTAGTAACAATTTTCACAAGAAAATGACTTCAAATTGCAGAGAAACTAAAGACCATTAATGGAAACCTGAAGGTGTAAGTGGTGGTCTGTAATTGACCGATTGCACCTGAGCACTGCAGCGGTTTGCAAGGCATGTATGAGTGGTTAGGTAGGTTTTTGGTTTGTGGGTTTTTTCTTATTTCAAAGAAAAGGTCATAGGTTCGAGGAAAAATGAGGATAAATGAAAAAAAATTAAATGGATGGATTAGATCCATTTCTATTGAAAGTCATTGCAAAAGTGAATATGTTTTCGAATGATATGTAACTTGCACAGGCAAATTAATTCATCCTGCTGCAGCAGTAAGCAATTGCGAGACCTTAAAACATGGCTTTAACAACACTGACAAACAGTCATGAAAGAATACTAAACATTGTACCTACTTCAGTTGATTGTTTAGCCCAAATAAGAATAAAACCACCAATGTGCATTCATGTACTAATCCAGTACTACCATGGATGGAATGTGTGGTAACCGTTTGCTGATCTGATCCTTGTGGGAAGGTCTAGATGTGGCCTTTTGGAGTATCTGGACTAAACTCATAGAGCTATAATTAGACACTGGCTCCTCCTATCCGCTCATAGAATGCATTGAAGACATCATGGCAGCAGATATTTGAGATTTTCATGCTCTAGAACATGCTTCAATGAGAAGAAATAAAAACATCTAGATATGTAATACCAAAGTGAAATGCTGATGAAACCAACCGGATACAAAGTTGCATAGGAATCTTAATTGTACACACACGTATGTGTTTGCCTAGAGCAAACTGTGCATTCACACCAGTATCACTGCATCAATCAGGCTGGTCTCTGTACAGGCAGTTAGAGCTCTAGTTAAGTAATTCTGTATCTCAAGCCTGTCTGTTTTAAGTGATATGTTACTGCCTTGTTTTTTCTGGCTTCACTCACTTTTGGGGTTGGATTTTATTTGGCTCCAGCATGACGCTGCAGTAGAGGCAAGAAGTTGAGAACCAAATCTAGAAAAGCTTTGGTAGTTTTGCTTTTACTTTTATTGTTGTGGTCATAGTGTTGAGAAGAAATGTAACTTTAACTAAAATACAAAATGAAATGTAACCAAAAAAAGGCAAAAAGCAAAAAACAGATTAAAAATGAGCCAAAAAAATCTCAAGTACCCTCTGTGTAAGTTGGTGCTGTGAATGCAATGCTGATGGCACATATTTTCATTGAAAAATGCCTTTCAGTTTTCACAAAGTTGTTTAAATCAATTATATTTACATTTATTTTACGGTCATTTAAAAAATGCTTAATTCATTCTAATGTTATAAAGAAAATATGATTCAGTCTAAAAGTTTGTTGTTGCTGAAGCTGGAGTTATGTCAAGCGAAATTTTGGAAATCAACTTTGAATTATCAACCATTTCATTAATTTTCATGATGGAGAAATGTGATGAAATCGAACATTTGCTAAACAAAATGGACTTATGCAGTAAAAGATTTTTAATGGAAGTGTTCATCATCAGATTAGACAGTGTCATTTGATAACGGTAAAAAATAATTACATTTACATAAATAATGTAAAAGAAACAGAAGGGTTTTGAAAACAATTGTAAAACCATTCATTTAGTTGTCTGTGCAACAAAGATGCAGAAATGGACAATCAACTAGATAGATG